CATACAAATAACTCATTTTTAAATTAAAATATCAATAAAATTCTCTAAGGTTCCCACAATAACATTTTTAGCTTTTAATTTTAGAATTCACTTTAATATTAATGTTTTTATAACTTGAATTAGAATCTTTAAAATGTATACTTTGTCTGTAGAAGTGTAGAATTGCCTTTAAGAAAATCATCATCTGAAAAATTGTCAATTCATTGGCTGGACTTCCTAATTCCTAGTAGGTGGTACATCATGTATTTCAGTTTTGAGAACCATGATATAATACATTGTGTGAACTAAAAACAGTAACAGACAACAGTAAGTTAACTTAAACTATTAAGTGACGTTTAACAAACATTTAAAATTTTAGAGACCTCAGATATTTACTTTCTTAAGTGTACCRTGAGTAATAATTCATTATTGAGTAAGTTTCTGAGTATTAACATTAAGACTAAACCATTAAACTGCTAAGTYTAATGTCTATAAAGACTACTAAGACTWTAGTCTGTGGCAGTCCTGGACGGATCCCACAAAGATAATTATGGTGGTGTGTTAACAAAAAAAAAACACTTTCGTTTTTGATCGCAGATGTGCGGTGGTTGTTTTTATTTTAACGACAAAAGAAACAACAACAAACAAAAAAAATATGTGTGATGAGGAAGTAAAGTAAAAAAAAACAAAAAGCACACAATAGAGAGCACGATTGCACGGGGAGGGTACGACACGGGCGAGGACGATCGGTGCGTGGTGTTTGTCACTCAAGCGCGGTCGTAAAACTAAAAACTTGCTACAAGCCGGTTCGCGGTACCGGCGGTCGACATTTCCAGGCGCGCTTATCGCGTGTTGGTGTCGGCCGTCGTCGATTGGCGGTTGACAGAGAGAATAGACGGCGCGGGTTTCCGCGCAAAGGCCGTTTGAATTYAAACGGCTATTACGCGGGACGCGTCAAGTCATTGTTCATTAATCAACATAAACAATAATATTAATGACCTAGTCAGTCTTTGATAAGAATGTGTACATCGGATCGCCTATATAAGTTCTGAACATATTAGAAAATAATATATTGGCAGTGGTTGGATACTTAGATGTATAGTATAGGCCAGACGTATTCAAACTTTTTCATCCCAAGGCTCCTTTGAGTCTTCACAAAATGTTGACGGCTCCCACCCAAATTAAAAATGACAAARAAATCAATGTTTATATGAATGTAATTTATATTTTATACTAATTATTTATTTACCATATTACATATATCAAAAAAATTATAAATAAGTAGTTATTGTAAAAAAAAAATATAACAAAATATTTTATGTTTAGTCTTAGGAAATATAACTCAATAATATTAAATAATCAATATTACTTATTACTAGATTWTTAGTGAGATTGATGCGCTTGCTTATGCTTCATAATATGTTCAAACCGTGGCTCAAGTTTGGAAATAGCTATTCTCATCTCCTTCTCAACGTTCACTTTTGATCGATATTTTGTTTTAATTACAGCTAACGCAGAAAACCCGGTCTCACAGAGGTACGAAGTTGCAAAAGGTGTTACATTTTTCAAAGCTTTGGTGGCCAATTCGGTGTATTTTAGTTTCACATGCGTCCAAAATTGTGTTAACGACGATGATCCGAACATGGTCTTCATTGTGGAATCTGATGTTACATCGATCCACTGTTCTTGTTCAATAGATGACAAATTTGTTGGAAGACAGCACTGAAGGGATCTTTGATCCAACTTTGTTGTTGAGTATTTTGTGGAAAATAGTGTTCGAAATTAATTTTGAGGTTAGATAAGTGGTCAATGAACTCATTTTTGACGAAGTCATTCAAGTTCATATCATTTTCTTTTAGAAATGTATGGAGCATAGGAAAGCAATCATTAAAAGCGTTGTCTTCTATTTTAGTCTTCCATAAAACTAATTTTCTTTGGAAAGCCGTAATTTTATCAAGAAGCTAAAAAATGTGGGTTTCATTTCCTTGTAACGATTTATTTAATATATTAAGCTTTGAAAAAATATCGAAAAGATATGACAGTTTTGTAAGAAAATCAGTGTCTTCAAATTTGTTGTGGTNTAGTCTGTGGCAGTCCTGGACGGATCCCACAAAGATAATTATGGTGGTGTGTTAACAAAAAAAAAACACTTTCGTTTTTGATCGCAGATGTGCGGTGGTTGTTTTTATTTTAACAACAAAAAACAAAAAAAATATGTGTGATGAGGAAGTAAAGTAAAAAAAAAACAAAAAGCACACAATAGAGAGCACGATTGCACGGGGAGGGTACGACACGGGCGAGGACGATCGGTGCGTGGTGTTTGTCACTCAAGCGCGGTCGTAAAACTAAAAACTTGCTACAAGCCGGTTCGCGGTACCGGCGGTCGACATTTCCAGGCGCGCTTATCGCGTGTTGGTGTCGGCCGTCGTCGATTGGCGGTTGACAGAGAGAATAGACGGCGCGGGTTTCCGCGCAAAGGCCGTTTGAATTYAAACGGCTATTACGCGGGACGCGTCAAGTCATTGTTCATTAATCAACATAAACAATAATATTAATGACCTAGTCAGTCTTTGATAAGAATGTGTACATCGGATCGCCTATATAAGTTCTGAACATATTAGAAAATAATATATTGGCAGTGGTTGGATACTTAGATGTATAGTATAGGCCAGACGTATTCAAACTTTTTCATCCCAAGGCTCCTTTGAGTCTTCACAAAATGTTGACGGCTCCCACCCAAATTAAAAATGACAAAAAAATCAATGTTTATATGAATGTAATTTATATTTTATACTAATTATTTATTTACCATATTACATATATCAAAAAAATTATAAATAAGTAGTTATTGTAAAAAAAAAATATAACAAAATATTTTATGTTTAGTCTTAGGAAATATAACTCAATAATATTAAATAATCAATATTACTTATTACTAGATTWTTAGTGAGATTGATGCGCTTGCTTATGCTTCATAATATGTTCAAACCGTGGCTCAAGTTTGGAAATAGCTATTCTCATCTCCTTCTCAACGTTCACTTTTGATCGATATTTTGTTTTAATTACAGCTAACGCAGAAAACCCGGTCTCACAGAGGTACGAAGTTGCAAAAGGTGTTACATTTTTCAAAGCTTTGGTGGCCAATTCGGTGTATTTTAGTTTCACATGCGTCCAAAATTGTGTTAACGACGATGATCCGAACATGGTCTTCATTGTGGAATCTGATGTTACATCGATCCACTGTTCTTGTTCAATAGATGACAAATTTGTTGGAAGACAGCACTGAAGGGATCTTTGATCCAACTTTGTTGTTGAGTATTTTGTGGAAAATAGTGTTCGAAATTAATTTTGAGGTTAGATAAGTGGTCAATGAACTCATTTTTGACGAAGTCATTCAAGTTCATATCATTTTCTTTTAGAAATGTATGGAGCATAGGAAAGCAATCATTAAAAGCGTTGTCTTCTATTTTAGTCTTCCATAAAACTAATTTTCTTTGGAAAGCCGTAATTTTATCAAGAAGCTAAAAAATGTGGGTTTCATTTCCTTGTAACGATTTATTTAATATATTAAGCTTTGAAAAAATATCGAAAAGATATGACAGTTTTGTAAGAAAATCAGTGTCTTCAAATTTGTTGTGGTATTCATGGTGGGCTAAAAGAAAAATATGAAGTTCTTTTCTATGTTCGAATACTCTTGCCACTACATTTCCACGTGAAAGCCATCGAGAATTGCAATAGTAAAGTAAGGAAGTGTGCTCAGCTCCCATATCAACACACATTTGTTCGAAACATMTGGATTTCAACGGACGAGTTTTGATGAAGTTAACGATTTTAATAGTTGATTGCAATACCTCATCAAGAGATGGGCTGATAGATTTTGAAGCGAGAGCTTCTCTGTGAATTGTACAATGAGTATACAGCAAATGGGGCTTTTCTTTTAATGAGGGCTTGAAGTCCGTTGTAATATCCTGACATCGAACGAGCTCCATCAGTACAAATACCACAGCACATTTCCCACATTAAATTATTTTCCATTATGAAAAAATCGAGCATTTGAAACAAATCTACTGCTCTAGCTTGACTTTTAATTCGGTAAAAAAGAAGATCTTCGTGAAAAACGCCACCATCTATAAACCTCACGTAACAGATTAGGTGGCCATCATTATTATTATCAGTGGCTTCGACCAGTTGTAGAGAAAAATCCTTGCCTTTTAATTTATCTATCAACTGATCGTTAATATCTTCAGCCAAATCAAGTATTYTGCGACTAATAGTAGWATCTGATAATGGTATGTTCATTAATTGCTTGGCAGCAGCCTCCCCAAGCATAATTAATACCATATCCATTGCTGCCGGTAAAATGAGCTGTTCTGCGATAGTGTGTGGTTTTTTACATTTAGCGACCTGATAAGCAACTTTGTAAGATGCAAGCAGAGYCTTAGAAGGGATCTTAGCATGCTTGGCAAAGGTTGTCTTTTGTTCACGCATTGCTTTTAATTTTGACTCAAAATATGTACGTGGTTTGTTTTTCAAAGTTTCATGTACCGTTTCCAAATGACGTTTCATTTTATTAGAGAGCATGCTTTCAACAGCCATCACTTTGAAACAAATAACACACTGTGGACGTTCTTTATTCTCCACTACCGTATACGTAAAACCATAATATCCATGTAACTCTCATCATATTTACGGTGTTTTGATTTTCTTATAGTATTAGAACTATCAAAATTCCGGATTATCACGTTTAGGTCTGTTCAAAAATTTATCCATCCTGATACAACTCTAAAACTTAACTAACACGAGAAAACTATCACTTGTGTAMACGTAAACACGTTAATAGTCAATGGATAAACACAACTCGCGACTAATACTGCCAAACACGACATACGCACTGATAATTTAATGATGGCAGTCGATAGTATCGCTATCGCTATCGCGACTTACGCGACCAATTAAAGC